CTGAGTGCTGGAATTAAAGGCGTGGACCACCACGCCGGGCCTGTAGTGCTCTTTATGCATGAGAAAACTGAAGCTTCTACAGGGAAATGAACTTTCAGTCAAGATCTTCAGCCAAGATCTAAACCCAGGACCAACTTCCAATCTTATTTGCTGTTTACTGCACCACACTGCCTCAAAACAAAGGTCAGCAGTGGTTAGACACAGGCTGGAGACTGCCTAACTCAATTTCCAGCTCTGCCACTTGCTAAGCTGTGTGTTGTTAAGTTAGTTACTTCTCTGCACCTCATCATATATGCTTTCATAATGAGAAAACACATGTTGTAGGGTACTTAAAATTAAAGGTAAGGTGCTTAGAGTAGTAGTTTCTGACAGTAGGTACTATATCACTTGATGATTGATAAATATTTGCTAGCCAATTTACCAACTTCAACCTAAAGACAGGCCAACTGTGTCACATTTCAGATCAGGAATGGACCCAAGCCCAGAGGCTTACCTGCCCTGGTCCTAGGGGCACATCTTCTCAAGTCCCTGCTCCCCCCTTGCCTTAGTGATACAGGCCCCTTTGCACTCACAAAACGAAGAAAATCTTCTCGTTGATGCCGGAAATGACAGATGTGATTGACAGAGAGAGGATGCAAGCTCCAAAGAAGACATGCACAGGTTTCAAGAGGCTTCGCAGCCACTGGGACGCCCAGGGCAAGAGGAAGATGGAAAAGCCCAGGAACCACTGTGGACACAAGCACGTGGGAAGAAGTTCTGGAGCAACCGTGCATAACCACAGGTGCCCCAAGTCATCCACCACCCCGATGGTCCCTGCTGGCCCTCATCCCCTAGCCTTCTTTTCCTAACTCAAACACTCCCAACCATGCATAGCCTTCACTACACACACCTAACTGCAGTCTGCTCATTTCTATTACACAAGCAACTAGGCTGGTGTGTGAAAGGCTTACTGCGATGTGCTCACCAAGCAAACCCAGCCATCTTCTTCAGCCTCAGCCTCTTCCCAGTCCTGGCTCATAAATAACTTGAGCCAGGACTCATGTTGGAATAATAAAATTAGTTCTAGAATGGCTTTCAGTTCAAAAAGATGGAATGGAGAAAGCAGAAAAGAGGGTAGATCAGAGTCAGCATGGTGTATGGGATGGTAAAGTCAGCCCAGAGGACTCTGGGACAATAGGCTGTGCAACAGCTATAAGGAACAGGCCTAGAATTGAAACCCCAACTCCCCACAGCCATTCAAGCAGCTAAGTCTATATGTGCAGTATGTGAGACCCTCCAGGTAAAGGGCAGAGGAAATATTTGGAGCTGAGGTCAATGAAACCATCCCTAGAGCCCATGGTGCTAGACCTGGCTATGGGAACCCAGGAGGAGAGGGTAGAGGCACCTACCTGGCAGGCAAAGAGGATGACAGTGGTGATGCCCAGCCAGCTATGCAGGGAATAGAGGTGTGCAATTTTTGAATGGTTGTGATACTGAAAGACAGCAACCAGCCCCACAACAGTGAAGATGAAGGCCAGCAGGTGCAAGGCTGCATGGAGGAGTTTCCAGGGCAGCTTGGGTCCCACCCATGACAAGGGCAGGCGGTACACCAGCGAGGCTGCAGAAGAGAACAGTCCCAGGGTTTGGCCACATCCCCTTGCACTTCCCGTACTCCCTGGTGAGACCCCACACAGCCTCCCAATCAGAAGAGAAGTGCTGGGGCATCCCATTATTTGTGGGAGACAGCAGGAAGGGAGGCTGGAAGGGCCAGTTAAAGAGGAAGGAGCAGTTTCCCGAACTTGACATTCTGTCCTCACAATCCTGAATGCAGTGTGAATGCAGCTGAGGTGTTTTCTCTTCATGGTTTCATCACACTGAATTCTCACAGCCAAGGCTATGAGAACCCAGGCCTGGAAGCTGAGGATAGAGCTCAGCACATGCCTAGCATGCCCAAGGCCCTGGGCTCAGTTCCATCTCCAGCACCAAAAGTGAAAAGTAAATAATGAAGAGCTCAGGAAGAGAGGTCAGTGAACACAAGTCCAAATCTAGGTTCTGTATCTTAAGTCTGGCCTCTTCTGTTTCCTCATCTGTAAAATGGGGATAGCAACAGAGCCCATCTCACAGGCTTATTGTAAGAACAGAATTAAGAATAAACATGGTGGCACATACCTGTAGTCCCAACACTCAGGAGGCTAAAGCAGGAGGACTGCTAAATAGTGAGTTCAAAGCCACCGTGGGCTACATAGGCAAGACCCTATCTCAAACAAACAAACAAACAAAACAAAACAAATAGGATAGAAAAGAAGGAAAAAGGTAGGGAGATGAGTGTTCAATCCCCAGAAACCACATAATAAAGCTGGGTGTGATGACACACACCTGTAATCCCATCACTGGGGAAGTAGACAGGAGGATTCCTGGGGCTTGCTGGCTAGCCAGCCTACCCTCATCAGTGAGCCCCAGGCCAGTGAGAGACCCTGTCTCAAAAAAACAAAAAAAA